AAATGCATATAATTGCATATTTGGAATAAAAATTATGCATATATATGCGCATATTTTGATTGAATTTAACTGCATATATTCCGCGCTTTAATTATTATCATTGACCTAAGGAAAGGGAAATATGACTTCTCACAAGAGAAATGGAGCAACTAATGGCGACTTCTATCATCACATTTCAAGTATGAAGTTGATGGCTTTTATTTTTGGCTATTTTTATTTATTATAACCTATTATTCGTGTTATGTTCTTTATACGAATAAAAAATATTGTTCGATACGAGGGCAAAACTCCGTTTTTCGAACTCCTGACGAACTGAAACGCTGTAATCGTTCAAAAAACGACACTTTTCACCCTTGAATGGAAAACTACTATTTCGAACTAGTGACCGATTGACAAACGCCATCGTCGTTCGAAAAACAACACTTTTAGACCTTGCATCGAAAACTATTTTGAATACTGACTACAAACAATTTCGTTTTGCTTAATGTATGCCGAAAAAAGCGCACAAAAACCGTGCGATCAAAACCCACAGTCACACAAGTGAACAGTTTCCAAGTGATAATTGCAATGCATCGTACTTACCCTTGAATAGTATTCGCTGACCGTTTTCTGAATGTCCCTTGATTCGTTTTTCCTCATTTTAAACAGCTTATAGTACAATAACGCTTGGCACCGGAAACTATATAGAAAAGAAGGAAATTAGTTTTGTAACAAAGGTTTCCAAATCCTTTCAATTGCTTTACCTTAAAATGGCTAATTTGGTGTGCACTCCCGAGAGGGTGGGCTGTGATCGAAATTTCGAGGAGATGTATTTGATCAGTGATAACGTGTCTTTGTACATTCTGAAGGCGGCCAGTTCGGTCACCACTTCTTGTTCCATGGCGTTACCGGTCAATAGGAAGAACAAAACTGCTTCCAAGTACAACATGCACTGATCGATTGCATCCGATTCTTTGTCAGCCAGATGTTTGAGCCTTTTTGCTTCACTTAGGTAGTGACTGTGGTCTCTAAAAAGTCAGTTAGTGATTAGTAAAGTCACATCGATTTTGGATCGAGATGAAAAAATACTGTTTGATTCAAGTTTCAACATTTAGCTATTTACTGTCTGTTTACTTATATTTAGTGGTGGGAAGAAAGTAACTAATCGGTATTCAAGTACTCGTTACTCATCAGTATCCGAAGTAACCAATACCGAACCAAGCTAGCAAACGAGTATTCAAGTAATCAGTAATCGTTCTCGGAAAATCAAGTCGCCCATCCTAACCTTCGACTCCAAAGCCCAATACTCTACTTACTCGTAGTAGGGATGGTCGGTATTTAACGTAACCGCTAAAATAACAGTGTTCCAAACGTGTAACCTGAAACCGTAGTTGCAGCTAGGCGATTTAACCGTTTTTTTTTATCCGTCTCATAAAATCAATATAGCGGTGCGCACTTCGAACACCGTCAAGCGATCTATCCAGCTGCAGCCGTTTGCCGATTTGAACCGTTCTTTTTGGAACCGTCTCATAAAACCGAAACAGTTGTGCGCACTTCGCACTAGCTGCAGCCGTTTGCTGATTTAAAGGTTGTTTTTGGAACCGTCTGAAAAACCTGAAAACGTGGTTCGCGTCAGCACAGAACCGATGCGGCATCGCCGAGCGCTCTATGCAGTTGCAGCAGTTTCAGTAGTAGTAACCCTTTGTCAACCTTGAGAGATAATTTTCTACATCGCAAATGTGGAAAATAATTCAGACAAACTCAAGCTTTCAAGAAGGCAAAGACCTTAGAGGACGTTAATTTTTACCAATCATGAGGTAAGTTTTTCCGATGTTTTGCTCTCCCAAGAGGAAGAATTTTTTCCCTCAAAAACTGATAAATGTTTTAACACTTTGTGAACTATAATTTCATGTTTTAATTGTGAATTGGTGTTTGCAGTTTGTGTAAAATTTTAAATCTGATGATGGCGCTGTTGTCTTGCCAAAACGTAATGAAATAAACAATGTTTCAAAATTTTTACTTCACACTTTGACTGAAACCCAGGAAAGATAGGAATATCATAATCATTTTTAAATGACAATTATATTTTTAAACATTTTCGCATATAAACCGTATATTTTATTTAATCACTCTAGTTTTATTATTATCAGTTTTTTTGTTCTTTAAGTAGTTACCTCGGACCTATGTTTTGTTTCTGATTTTAGAATATTTTATTTTATGTTTAACAATGTTAAGAATTATGTTTTTAATAAAGGAAATCATTATATATCATCACTATTTCTACTATCTTCGACATTCTGCTTTTTTAATAAAAAAATTAAAAAGTAACATGTTCCTTTTGGAACCGGATGTTGAAACCTAATACCAAGTTGAAACTGGAACGTTGTAACCCGTTACAGAAAAATAACCGTTTATCACACCTCTTAACTCGTACTCGCTCAGACTAAAGACCTATTTATAAACTTGACGTTGGCGTTACCGTTGCCGTTTGCGCACAACTGACTTAAAAATGGTCTGATTATTTACTCTTAGACGTAAATATACCTATCTAATACGGGAATCATAAATTCAAGGGTTGGATATGGTTTGTATGACTAAATTGCCCGTGTAACAAATCTGAAGAGCAGTAATAAAATACCAATATCGGGCTTCGATTTTCGTTAGACTAACAACTAGAATGAGTCCTTGAATAACTGATCCGAAGTAACGAGTATTGAATCCAAAAGTAACTAGTCGGTACGAGTATTCAAAAGTAATTAAATCGCATACCACTACTGTCTATCACCAAGTCTTACTTACTTCTCTTCATCTTCCTCCGACTCTTCCATATTCTCGAAGTATGAGTAGTACTCCTTCTTCGGCTGACTCGTGGATGCAACTGAAGAACCGGCACCAGTGGGACTAAGGAGCAGCATTGTTTCCCGTTCATGATTAGTTGGAGGCATGTTGATCGCGTTAAGGGATTCGGAAACAAGTGATCGAGATTGGGAAGAAACCGTCGAGCTTTTGTGATGTTCGGCTGGTGTCTCGTCGATTTTAGGCCTACAATCGAGAACATTCATAAATAACTATTTCTACCATGGCAAAAATACTTACAAGCATCTGATGCAGATTATACAATTACGTATTTCTTATTATCATTTAGAATGCGATTGTCACTCTACTCACTTTTTCGTCCTAGATTTGGTCTTATCCTTCGTATTATTAGTCTTCTCTTTCTTTTCCTTTTTATGGGAGCTCCTGCTAGCGGAAGATATCAACTCCGAACTGTTGCTGCTGCTACTTGTTTTGAGTTTTTTGCCTTTCGCCTGATTTAGACAAAGTTAATACAAAGCAATCCAAAGTCATCATTCCACTACCTTCAACTCATTATTCACATCAACTGGCAAGTCGAGCTTTGATTTTGAAGTCTCTTTAACTCCCATGCTGCTTTTACCATCCCTCTCCAATCCACAGTCATTAAGTTGCTTGTTGTCAGATTCAGTCTTTGGTTTCACATGTTCAGTTGAAGATTCTAGATGCCGGCGTTTGGCCCTAAGCAATAGCAAAAAGTTAAGTTAATTAACTGTTCAACTCGAAAATAAACCGATTTGGCTACAGTTTTCAAACGAAGATGTGAGCATGTCCGACAATAGGATACCAAAGAGCCAATATAAATTAAATCATGGAAAGTACCTACCTTTCAACCTGCTTCTTCAGTGATGCAAGAAAATTTGTATTGAGGTTACTCAAATCTAGCTGTATTTTCAGGGACGTTCCTACAGGATGAATGGGTGGCACTCGCTCTTCTTTAGCATTTGCTACCCGGTTAGAACTATCACTACGGTTTCGAACGGCGATGTTTTCAGTCTTTAGTTTCGCAACGCTACTGCTGTTGCTTTTGCTGGAAGCAGATTTTGCCGCACGGCTTTCGGGGTGCGGTTCTAATGGAGAGGGTGGCCGTTCCTGCAAACAAATGATTCTTTAGTATTTAAATTTTAAACAGTTAAAAAGTTTTAAAAATTAATTTTAAACAGTTAACTTTTCTGTAGGTATGTAGGTTATCGATGGTACAAAAGATTTTTTTTTAGTTGAGAACTTACCGGCGAATGGTGGGATTTTTGCGCTTTTGCTCTAGAAATGGTCGGCATTGCTTCATCGTCCACAGACGAACTGGTTCTTTCATAGTCGCCATCGACTATTATCACGTTAACTCCTGCTTTGCCTTTGCCGCCTTTGCCTCCTTTGCCACCGCCTTTGCCACCGCCCTTACCGCCTTCCGAGTCCCGTTTGAAAGTGAACAGTTTTCTCAGAGTATCGTTCTTTTTCTTATCAGCTATCGATTTGTGCTCTTCGACTTTGATGAGAGTATCATTTCTGGACGATTGCTTTTTAGCGGGTAAATCGATGTCGCTCTCCGAATCGGAAATCTTGTGGACCTCAGACAGTGAATGTGAAGTGCTGGTGCTTGTTTGTCTAGTGATGCGGCTTTTTCGCGTGGCAACCTCATCATCACTGGAATCACTTGAGGATAGGAGGGATTTGCTCGATCCCCTAAAAGCATTCAGCTTATCAGTTTTTCGACGGAAAGGAGAGGTGTTTTCTTTTGGCTTTTCTCGTTTCCGACGCGCTGAGGATTCAGATTCGCTCCTAGAAAATTACACAGAAAGTCAATACAATGGTCATAATGCCAATGAGGCAAAAAGTAGTTTACCTATCTGAAAACCTCTCGCTAAATAATGCCTTGACACTGGTTTTGTTTTTCTTGCCCCATTCTTCGTCTGAGTCATCCTTTGATTTTTTCTTCGACGCCGAATGACTGAGTCTGGTCAAATCCTTGTCAGAATCCTGCAAGTTCATAAAATAAATAACATAAAAACAACCAAATATTTAAATAGCATAAAAAACAATGCAACAAAATCTTTATGCAAAAAAGACTGATGAAACTTTCTAAAAAACTATACTTACTTGGCGGTAACTGGGTCTTCTTCTAACTGGGGAGGGACTGGGACTGTCAGAATCACTGCTGGATGAATCCTTCTTTGATATCGTTCTTTTTCTAGATGGGGTAACTTTCTTCTGAGGGATATCTTCATCCGAACTACTAGGAACTGGAGATTGGCGTGTTTTTCGCGGTCTGCCCCTAAAGAACAAACATTAGATAACATATCCGATGCACAATAGGTAAATTACGTTTCATAAATGACGGTTTCTGGGAGACAAGAAAAATCTACAGTTTTGGGTAACATAAAACAAACATGCGTTTCACATTAGTTAATTTGGACCGGGCGCTGTTGAAATCACTGAAAAGATCTTAAGAAGTGGCATTTTGCTTCTGCAATTCGAAAATGTTAATGTACGTCTATTTAAATTAAACCAAACATGTATCTCAACTCAAGTCCCTTCCAGGTTGTTATTCTACTCAGTCGATTGTCAACATTAATTCCAGCAGGATATTTCAAACGAGAATCCTTCTTTGGATAAAGACGCAACTACCCAAACATTTTAATTTAAATAGAGAACAACAGTGATGATACAAAGTGATTGGGTCGTTCTTCCAATGAAGTTTACCAAGATGCTAAACAGTGAAAATGTTGTAGATGATGATTCTAATACGGAAGATTAGACCCTGCCCTATGATGCTACTAAAAACCCGATTATTCAGAATTGGCATATAATGAATAACGTCCAAAGTATCGTAAAAAAGGATTTTAGAATATACATATTTACACATCAGGAAAAATGGTTGCAAGGCCTTCACAGAATTACAGTTTGCGGGCGGTTTTTTTAGTAAGCTCCCTTTAAAACCAACTGATGTTACACCCATACTTGAAAATTGCAATTCTGGAAACAGCTTTTGACAATATTCCATAAAAATATAATCGCAACATGCATTTTTACCAATAGCTAAACTGGCTATTGGAGAATGTTTTGCGATATTCCAAAATAATTAATTTTACATTTTCTTCTACGAACCCTAACAACTTCGTTATATGTTCGGACGACGCTCATAATTTAAATGTATCGCAGTTTGCTGTAGACTACGGCTACATGAATCGTGTTACAGGTTTTAAAAGAAGGTTTATTATTTTATGGGGTTTAATATAAAATAATATTGTTTTCCATCTGCTTTCGTTGTGGGCAAAGGAAAGCCACTGTTAACAGCTATCCAAAATCAAAGACGTTTGAATTGGTCTAAATCTAAAATATATCGTGGACAACGGCAATCTGGAGTAACGTTATTTTCATGACGAATCGAAATTTCACGTGTGCGTAGGTGATTTTTGGAAAAGAGGAATTGTACCAAAATTAGCGGTCTTTCATAAAGACCGCCTAAAGCGTACGGTAAAATTTCCGCAAAATATATGAGAAGAAAACGCGTTGGCAAATATAAGTTTGTTGGCGGAACTGTTAATGCAGAAATTTTATCAAGTTTAATTCCAACTATGGAATAATATTTTGAAAGTGAACTCTGCACATTTTAACAGGAGCGTGCGCTTTCTCACACAGCTAAAACCCAAACCGTATAAAAACCGTAATAGGGTGTTTTCATTGTATCAAAAATTCTTACAAACTTAACATTAATCTATGGTAATATATGAAAGATTAAATAAGTTTATACTATCTATTTATTGCCATTTTGTTAAATATTTAATGAACAAATTCAGCTAAAATTCAAATTATTCATGAATCTCTAAAACGCATTCCTATTGGTTGTGACGTCCCTGGTCATATAAATGGCGGATTGTTTACGTTCTGTGCATAGTGTTTAGTTGTGTGGTTGTTTCATTAATTATTTTGTGGATTTGAATAATTTATAGTTTGTGTTAAACTAAAAAATGGCATCAGAAGGATTCCTTAAAGCGTCAACAAACAATTTACTATGTGTACATATTTTTATTGTTACCGATTTTTTTAAAAACGCCGAACGCTTTAAATCAGCCGAATTTAAGGGTGCCAAAGCAGTAGCGTAAGAAAAATCGGTAAATTAATTTAGTTTGGGTTAGTTTGGGTCTCTCTCCTTAATATACTAATCTGTCTGTATTGGTTTATGCGCAGAACACAGAGTACAATCGAAGGCATATTCTATCTGCCTCATCATTAGCTTTTTGTTCGTACTTTCATTAAAATGATCCTCGCAACAAAAAAACATTGTATATAAGTTCTATATTGTTGAGGCGGATTCATTTTTTTACAAACTTCTTCTTGGGTATTTCGCCGTAAAAAATTGTATCTTTAAAAAGGACAGAATTTCCTCACGTCTTCTATTACAGATTGATAAATAGTGCTCCTATTTCGCAATAAGAACGAATTATTTATCAAAAAGTAATCAAGAACTATCACCTAGAGGGAATCCTGCGACACACTTAGGCTCAAGCTGTAAGAGAAAATTCCAATTAGAAAAGAAATTAATTTGAAAAATTACTTTGACGTTTCGATAGCTATTTTCTGCTATCGTTATCAAAAGAACCTAAATGAACTTAAAAAAGAGTATGTCAATAAATTGTGTAACAATAGTAGGATAATACTGTACCGTGGATGGCCGAGTATTAAACTCTTTCTTCAGCTTACAACTTTTATTCCACTCGGTACAACTTTAACTACGGAACAGGAACAAACTAACTTC